TAATGTATTTCAAAATCTTCCTTGTTTTCCTGTTACTGTTGTCACTCATTTTAATTTAACGATATTTTATTTATGTGATAAAAAATGCGATACTTTAACTAAAACAACGCTTTAAATCAACTCTGCCAATAGCATGCAGGTTACCACGATCTAAATTTTTTAGTATTTTTACAAATAAATATTTGTGCCTAAAGAGTTAAAATAAAAATGCCATGGGACGTTATGAGCTAAAAGTAACAATAAACGCATAGTAACTTCATGTAACAACTAAATCAGGCAAAATGAGTTCAGAAAAATAGGTCAACGCAGCTGAAATCACCCGTTTCATTGTCACCTGCTTCGTACTGAATGCGTTTAAAGGGTAATTTAGCAAGGACACTAAAACATCAATGGTGATGTTAGTGCAAGTTTCAATGAGTGGGCGGAGCCTGGAGACAATGATGACAAAAACCAGTTCAGCGACTTGGGTCAAGATACAACTGTCATGCTTATGCCAGCACTCTCCAAGTTAGTTATGAGCCAAAACCTGAACAGTCTCCTTGACATTACTTATGCAATCGGCCCCTGGCCTACTGACCTAAACACCAGGACGTATATAACCGTCCCCCTGGCACGCTGGCGTTGCATTCGTCCACTCCCTTGGACGAATCTCACGTCAGGCGTTGGCGATGAGGATGGTGAAGATACGGTTCCTCATATCCATTGCTGTCTTGGTAAGTTTCACTATGATAATATGTTCGTAAATCGATTCGAAAAATGATTTGTTGACAGCCGGTGATTTTGGACATGTTTATCAGAAGGAAACTGCCAGACGTAAAAAACTTGAAAAAACCACACAACAGCCAGGGGCTGTTGGGATTGGTTCTGCAACGTCCTGTAAAGGATACGCAACTAACCTTATCAGAAGGAATAAACTCGAGAACTTGGTGACATCTGGCAAGATCGCTGGAGCAAGTGCAGAGAAAGGCAAAGAGATAAATACCCCAGTGGCTTGGTCAGAAGTAGGAGGACGGACACGACCACTGTAGCGATCCGCGATTGATTCTTGTGATCGTGTGAGATGGCCAGCAAGAATGGGAAGGGTTCCGAACCGTCACCACTTTTTCGTAAATATAGCACTACCTAATATGTTGCAATTCCCCACCACAAACAAAAATGAACACATTTTTCCATGTGCAGCTTTCAGTTATTAAATTTTCGGCTAATTTTTTTTTTTTTTTTTTTAAATTGTATTTACTGCAACACATGCACACGTGCACACATGTAAATTCAATGCTGGAAGTCAGAGACTGGAACGTCTGGTGTGATATATGTCTGTGTCTATCTTTACTCCTTATTCTTGCATTCTTAGCAGCGATGTGGACACACTGCTCCCACAAGACAGCTAATGTTCTTTAATTACACGGCTGTTCTAGTCTCGTCTGCTGGGGAGGCGTGGATTTATTTCAGTAAAACAGCTGCATTAATTACCTTTAAATATGTGGATGTGTGATACAAACAGACAAACTTTGAACGTCAAAATAAATGCTAATAACGCAACGATAAACTTGGAAACAAGGAATAAAGATGCACGAGAAAGGCTGCAGGAGTGACCAGAAGAGATACAATCAGAAATAAGGTCAGAATATCAAAAATTCAGAACAGAACTAATTCTAAATTACAAACAAATGAAACCAATCAAATGGTTTGCCCACTTAGAGAGACTGCCTTGTGACGTCACGCCCTACAGAGCATTCACCAAAAGAGGAGAAGACCGTAAATCGTGAGGTTGACTAAGAACAAGTAGGTATGATAACGTCATAGAAAGCTAAAAACAGCGCAGTGTGTCTGTGTTCTAGGCAGCCGAGCGAAAAAACTTACATCTTCTTTATATCGCTATGTAACACCTCCTTTCCTGTGCCAGTTAAAATTATACAAAATGTCCTTCACTGTACTATTTGAAAACTAGTGATAGATGCATCATTGAACACAGAATACAGAAAGCTTGCGCAAGCAATATAAGGGCATAAGGCAGCCATCAGATGTGCCCGCCCATTCCCGTTCCAGGCCGCCCCAGGCACAAATGGCAGGCCTTCTTAGGGCTGTCAAAATCCACTCCCAAAAAGCCGGACTACGCCACGTATGACGTGCAAAAATGTGGCAGCAGCAAAAAAATCAAACTCAGTCGAAAACGATCGCCACAAAGACACAAACTAAACTCAGACAGCAAAGGAACCGTCCGTAAAAAAGCAGGCCATCAGGCGGCTAAAAAAGGACTAAGTTTGTCATTTTTGTTTTTCTTTTACCAACCAACACCCAGATGTGCAAACGCTAAAAACGACATCGTACAAGCACACAACGACTGGCGCGTTTAACCTAATACTTAACTAAAACGAATTGCTTTTAGTATTGTAGAACATTTTCTCTTGCACTGTGAAAACCAAGGACGTATTCTATGTTATCCTAATTATATATAGGATAACTGTTGTGTTGCATATAAGTGCTACAAAGTATACGAGACAGTGGATGGACGCATTCAAGACCAGTCTTTCAACTTACATACTTGATGGATAAATAAATGAATGAATGAAAGAATTAGTAAAAATATGAATGAATGGTGTCAATGCCGACAATTTCAGTAACATAAATTATTCGAAAAAAGACACAAACATTGGTAATTCAAAATTTTAGAAAATTCTTGGCCTATCGTACAGAGACCACATCACAAATGATTCGCCGTATAATTAGGCAGCCCACTGGCAATTGCAACATCTTTTAACTACAGTGAAAAGACGGAAAATGCAATGATATGAACATGTAATAAGATCTACAGGCGCCTCACAAACAATACTGTAGGACTCAGTAAAGTGGAAGAGGATAAGAGGCAGACCAAAAAAGAACTTGATTTCAGAACTTGATTGACTGGATAGGTCTTTGACATACAGATATGAAGTCCATCGCCTCTGACTGTCGCAGGTGAAGGGATCTCATGAGAAAGTCACCAACAACTGGTAACCCAAAAGCAAAAACTGTTACGTCATGCTGATGAATGGCCTTGGTTTCATATCGTGAATTCGTATTATGGTCCAGTTTAAAAGCAATGAATGGGCAATGAAATAAAAAATTTTGATGCTTGACATAGTTACACAAGTTACAAGTGGTCCATCAAATTGTAATGTCCATGTCCTGTTATCAGATCTGTCTCGGTGATGGCGTTCTCGTCAGGCAAAATGTGAATAAGCTGAACCAAGAGCAGACCTTCAACCTGCAGCAATCTCTCAGGGACGCCATTGCTGACCAATCCGAGAAAGGATATGCTACCATCGCAGGTTACCATGGCTACCCGGCCCAGTGTAAGCATGGCGACAGAGAAGTGGCTTGCTGTGTCCATGGAGACCCGAACTTCGTCGCGTGGCATCGTCTGCTTGTTGTCCAGTTTGAGCAGGCTCTGAAGGACAAAGGTATAACTAGCCTCCAGTTCTATAAACATTGATTCCATTTTCACTTGTTTGCTTTCAATCAATTACAAATAAATAGGAAAGACAACATTATCATTGTTGTAGTAATAATCATTTTCTGTTGTAGCTATAATCATCTTCTTTTTTTTTTTTTTATTGTCAGTCTGTTTATAATTGTAATCTTAATCATTATTAACTTCAGCTTCAATAAAATAAAATGATTGGCCTCGCTACGCTAAATCACACTCAAACTGTACTACTTAAAAAGCCTTTCTCTCCCTCCTTCATCGCTGAATTTTCTTCTTCTTCTTCTTCTTCTTCTTCTTCTTCTTCTTCTTCTTCTTCTTCTTCTTCTTCTTCTTCTTCTTCTTCTTCTTCTTCTTCTTCTTCTTCTTCTTCTTCTTCTTTCTTCTTCTTCTTCTTCTTCTTCTCTTCTTCTTCTTCTTCTCTTCTTCTTCTTCTTCTTCTTCTTCTTCTTCTTCTTCTTCTTCTTCTTCTTCTTCTTCTTCTTCTTCTTCTTCTTCTTCTTCTTCTTCTTCTTCTTCTTCTTCTTCTTCTTCTTCTTCTTCTTCTTCTTCTTCTTCTTCTTCTTCTTCTTCTTCGTCTTCTTCTTCTTCTTCTTCTTCTTCTTCTTCTTCTTCTTTCTTCTTCTTCTTCTTCTTCTCTTCTTCTTCTTCTTCTTCTTCTTTCTTCTTCTTCTTCTTCTTCTTCTTCTTCTTCTTCTTCTCTTCTCTTTCTTCTTCTTCTTCTTCTTCTTCTCTTCTTCCTCTTCTCTTCTTCCTCTTCTTCTTCTTCTTCTCCTCCTTTCCTTCATTATCTTCTTTTTCTTCTTCTTTTTCTTCTTTTGTGTGCGCTGTGCATTCACACATCTGTCTTTCCTGTATTATCACCTTAAACATCTTCATGATATATCAAATCACCAGGACGAGGAAATCATTTCGTGTAACTATCAAATGTAGAATCAATGTTTTCTTCAATATTATACTGTATTTTTTTTTCAAGTGTTATGAATTACATCATATTTGAAACGTTTAATAATAGTTGAACAAATTTAATATCTATAATGTCATAAATTAAAAATAAGAAAACTTATGAGCGATAACTGAAGCACTCAGCACGGACACATTTCAATGGGCATTAATTTTAGCGCTAATCGAAGAGGCTCTCGATGGTGGGTACCTGTCCTGTTATTGAGACTCGATGTGATGATTAAAGTTTAAAAAGGGCAACAACAAAAAATAAATAAATATATTCCACGCCTTTCGGAGCATCAGCACTTGGTAGTTGATGTTATCAGCATCACACCAAAGTATAACTGTTACTAGGTTATGTGCGCTGTGTAAAATGGCTCAACATTGCATGCATGAATAGCACTGAAAGAGACATTTGCAGTGTTGATGGGATCAAAGGAGACAGACCCAAATACTGTCTCGACCGGCAATGAAGTCGTCTATCGGCGAGCCAATGGGCAACCTGGTCGCCAGTTTGTGAGGGTAGTTCTTGCGGTGTATGCCGCATTTAAAAGATACACCTTGTTGACACAGAAACAACTGTCTATTGCAGGTCTAACGACAGGCGTCCCGTACTGGGACTGGACACAAGAGCTATACGACCTGCCAGAGTTGGTGCGGGAGAACGTCCTTCCTAACCCCTCGGGGGGAAAGAATCTGGACAACCCCTGGTACCAGGGAGACGTGCGCGTGGGCGACAAGGTCTACCACACCACCAGGGCTATCGATGCTAGGCTATACCAGCGGGTGAGTTTATGGTTATTTTGATTAGTTCATTTAGAATGGAGACCACATGTTACTGATGATTATTATTTTTTTATTATATTTTGCTTTGCCAGCCTGAAACTTTTACTAACCTTTTTATTCTGCCCCCCCCCCCCACACCCCCACCTCACCCCTTTTTTTTTTTCCTCTCTTCCCCAACTGTTGCTTCCCTGTGCAGCAATACATGTTTCCTAAAAAAGACACTTATTGTTAATAATAGTATTATCATTATTATTTTTATTATTGTTGCCTCGTCTGTAAACCATTTTACTGTATTTGTAATAATAAATTTTATATTAAACGGAAGATTTTGCATTCTGTCAACAACAAGACAGAAGCAGAAGCAGAAGAAGAAGAAGAAGAAGAAGAAGAAGAAGAAGAAGAAGAAGAAGAAGAAGAAGAAGAAGAAGAAGAAGAAGAAGAAGAAGAAGAAGAAGAAGAAGAAGAAGAAGAAGAAGAAGAAGAAGAAGAAGAAGAAGAAGAAGAAGAAGAAGAAGAAGAAGAAGAAGAAGAAGAAGAAGAAGAAGAAGAAGAAGAAGAAGAAGAAGAAGAAGAAGAAGAAGAAGAAGAAGAAGAAGAAGAAGAAGAAGAAGAAGAAGAAGAAGAAGAAGAAGAAGAAGAAGAAGAAGAAGAAGAAGAAGAAGAAGAAGAAGAAGAAGAAGAAGAAGAAGAAGAAGAAGAAGAAGAAGAAGAAGAAGAAGAAGAAGAAGAAGAAGAAGAAGACGTATGTTTAGTTTTAAGAACCGACATCATAGCACTCTGAAAATTCCCATATGCGCTCCGTCCCCAACTTCGGCAGCCAACGAAGAGTTTCAGTTCGGACAGTACAGATAACAATCTGACTAAGTCTAATATTACATTCTTCTTTAAATGGAGTGTCAGCAAGATCCCCTAATCACTCCCCGCTGCAGACGTACTAGGCATAGAGGACCTGACCCTTATTTGATAGACCAATGGCAATCGGTGGGTAATGTGGTCAAAATCACGCAGACCGACTTTACTTCCCAGGACAGTACCTGGTTATTATTTAAGGATGGATTGACCCGGGAGCATCCAGCTCCAGAAACCAATATGCTTTTGAGTTAACACACATGTATATATATATATATATATATATATATATATATATATATATATATATATATATATATATATATATATATATATATATATAACAACAAACTTGGAATCTAACTCAATAGTTTCTCTAAACAGGTAGCTGCAGGGGAACACACCGACCTCTTTGAACAAGTACTGAATTCCTTTGAATACACAAGTTTCTGTCAGTTCGAGGTTCAGTTTGAAGTCGCCCACAACTACATCCATTCCCTGGTCGGTGGTCGAAGCCAGTATTCCTTGTCTAGCCTCGAGTACACAGTTTACGATCCCATCTTCTTCCTTCATCACTCCAATGTCGAACGATTGTTCCAGATTTATAATGAAGTTCAGAAGTACAGAGGATTTGGAGGTGAGATTGTTTTTACAGATCAAACGTGTAAATATCTCATCGTCATCATCATGTACCCAGACTGCCATCTGGCGTAGGCGCTCATTAGTCTCCACAGATCACGATACCTAGTTCCCTGGAACAGCTCTCTGGATGATATCCCTCCATGCCATCGTTTCAGCCCATCCATTATCATCTCTTCTGGTCTGCTTCTACCCATTTTCCACCGATCTATCCAGTTAACACGGTGTTCTCTAATGTCTCTCTTCTCATTATGTGATCAAAGAACAGTTTGACAGGCCTGATTTACAGGACCAAATAAATAGTGAAAAAGATGAACGTAAAAAGTTAAATCAGTTTTCTCAACCCTTGGTTCTTTGTCAGTCATGCCATCAGATGCGAGTAAACGGATAAAGTTAAGACAGCCAATGGCTAAGAGCATGTTAGGGACACTGCTTCACAAAATCAGCTCTAAATTATCAATAACTAGGTAATATTTTACATCTATGCATAATGAAGAACAAAACAACAGAAATAAATACATCTGAGTGACTATTGTTACGCTCTACATCTCGTCATATCTCTGAGATTATCCACGGGATCATCGTTGAAGTCTAAGTTTCAATACCTCATTATTGTAGTAGTCAAATGTTAACCAAGTGATCCATTTCATTACTTTACAGAATCCAGAATTGTTATTTTTAATTTTTCCGCGGGCAAGATGTACATTTTAACAAGGGGCAAAATATGATCTGTGTATTTTAGTTAAAAAGTGGTTTGTGCTTAATTTTATAATTATGTAATTTTTTTTTAGTAATGCATCTAAAGCGACATACAGCAAAATACGGAAAGCTTCAAATTGTTAAATATATTGTGTGTGCCCCGTTATTTGAATTTACAGCGAGAAGCCATTGTTTTGACTTTATTAAGATTCGTTCTTTCGTTTAAACAGGTAATGAAAACAAGGAAATATGTGATATCAAAGGCTATTTGTCTCCACTGGAACCATTCAGCCGAGACTCGAACCCGTACCCTATCACCAGGGAACACAGCAGTCCACAAACAGCCTTGGACCCTTCTGTCTTTGAATACAGGTATAACATGTAGGAAAAATATTGTCTTGAATAACAACAAAATACGCTTCATCTTTTCACAGCAGGAATGACAAATGAGCTTTGCCGTTAGATAGACTTCATCAGCATATGAAAGAAATGGACAATGACACAATTACAATCCAGTCCATGTATGTCTAAACTGAGCTATTTCACGGAAATATGCAGACAACTGGACAGTAGAAACAAACGACTGAACTAATCCACCACCTTTCAAATGCAGGTGGTGCCCCAAGTCGTGTCCCAAGTCCCAAATCGTGACCTTAGTCCCAAGTCCCAGGTCGTATCTCAAGTCCCAACTAGTGCTTAGAGCCCCAAGTCGTGTCCCAAGTCGCAAGTCGTGTCCCAAGTCCAAGTCGTCTCCCAAGTCATGTCACAAGTCATGTCCCAATTCCAAATTCGTGCCCTAAGTCCCAAGTCCCAGGTCGTGTCTTAAGTCCCAAGTCGGGTTCCAAGTCCCAAGTCATGTTCCAGGTCCCAAGACACAAGTCCCAAGTCGTGCCTCAAGTCCCAAGTTGTGTTCCAAGTTCCAAGTCGTGTTCCAAGCCCAAGTCGTCTCCCAAGTCGTGCCACAAGTCCCAAGTCATGTTCCAGGTCCCAAGACACAAGTCCGAATTAGTGCCCCAAGTCCCTAGTCGTGTTCCAAGTCCTAAGTCTTATGACAATAAATTTTGCGATACCCTGTGTCTCCCACATCCAAACTGGATGGCTTGCAACCATTTTTGTAAATTGTTGATGATTCACATTTTTCCCCCTCACACAAGAGTTTCTGCTAATTAGGTCATAACTTTAAAGCATCTCTTTATTCTTAATACGCATTTTTAGAAATGTATACGATGATTCAGAATCTGCAGTGCGCACTGAAAATGGTCTAAGTAAATAAATGACTTATGCCTATTCGCCAAAGTCGACTTGTGACCAAGATTGGATAAACAGCTTATATTTGGATGTTAACTTAGAGGTGCTACGCTCGCCTATAGCTTGTGAAGACCGTTTTAATAAACTGTTAAGCCAGCATGTGTGTATGTAGCTGGTACTTCCAGTCTTCTGTTGACGCTTAATGTTGGACGGCGTATACCAAACTTGGCAACTCACATTGTGCCAAACCTTCAGCTTTATGAGCACGTTGGGGAAGATACTAGCCATATCCAAACAGAGGAAATGTAACTTGCAAACTTTTACCGCGTGGAATTTAGCCCAGATTTTTTACGCAAGGAATCTAGCCCAGCATCTTTGCTTGCTCTCGTTAATACTGGTCCACTGTTCTTGGAAGTCTTGTTTCCTACATCGATGTTGATATCTTTGAGTAAGTAAAATAATTATATACACAAAAATACAAATAAATGGTTCACGGAAGGACATCTTCTAACGTTATATATGTAAATGCTTCTCCTCAGTTACGATGACCTGACGTTGAATGGGCTTAGTCCGGCGGACATTGCCAACTTGATCAGAGAGAGGCAGTCACATGATCGAGTCTTTTGCTGATTTTGAGCTACACAACATTGGCTCTTCCGCCGATGTCAGGGTCAAGGTCAGTGGGGTGTGCTGGCTAGACAAACTGAAGTAAACGTTATCTCAAAATAGACAATTTAACCACTCTTACGTTCAATTTATAACCAAGATTAGCAACTTATAGATGTCTTTATCTTTCTTCTTCTTCTTCTCCACCTTTTTCACCAGCTGTCCTTCACCGAACATAAGATGTATAATCAGGCATAACATGTGGATTAGTATACATCATCAATAATACCCCTATATACATAGTACCGATGAGAGGCTGGCTGAACGGTCAGGCCGCTGGGTTTTTAAGCGGGAGACCTATGTTCAAAACCTTAGTATGGCTAGGGATTTCATTCTGTCGCTGCCAAAATAAATCCTCACCTGCACAGTCCGTGGCGACAGCACTAGCCATGCGGTCGTAAATCCTCTGGCTCAAATAACCCCCCCCCCCCCCCCGGCCCTCCTTTACTTCAAATGTGGTTTAATAAAAGCACTAGTTTAGTTTTGCACACAATACCTGGTTTGCAGCAGAAATAGTAAAGACCTCAAGATCAAAAGCCCCTGCTTACATGATACAAGTGGTAAATACAGGTAGACGTGAGAGCTTTCTGCTCTGGACTTTTAACAGGGAAAGTGTTTTAACTATTTAATGTGTAAATGTCATTATTTATAACAAAACATCAGACACTTTTAGTCTCTTTGTATGTTTTCTTTAGACTATCTCAATGTATGTGTACAATACCCGCAATGAAAACCGGCTGCAACTGCTAACTTTATTGCTAACTTCACTGCTAACTTCACTGCTAAGTCCGCTGGTAACGTAACTGCTAACTTCACCGCTAACTTCACTGCTAACGTTGCTGCTTACTTTACTGTAATACGAGGTGAACCACAATCTCTTTCCGGTATGACTCTCGTGCTGCTGTCTGAAAGTCACGAGAAAGATCTCATTCTAACCTGTCCAACGTAAACGCAGATAAATACATTCTGAAGGCATTTTTTTTAGTGTACTTCATCATCATCATCATCATCATCATCATCATTATCATCATCATTTTTATCAATATAGTATCGTCAGCATTATGATAAACTTGATGTAGATGTCCTATGCATGTACTTGCTGTATCTATTGATATCCCCACAATCGGACACATATAACATTGATCATATATATGGCGAAGCGGCTAGAGGCTAGCCTAAGGATCGGAAGGTCGTTCCCTGGCGAAGCCGGACTTTTTTTCAAAAATGATCATGTCTCTCAGGTCGAGCCAGTCTTGAGTGTGTACCGGCTGCAGTCCCGAGAAGTAAAGGCGGCCGGCGTGATGCTGAAAACATCACCCACCTTGTGCCGTCTGGTCTATAACACTATATGTCTAGCTGTATATGCCTTATACACCTAAATTCGTGAAAAGGGGTACTTTCCTTGACTTATATATACGATTATGTCTTCAACGCCAGGTCTGCTTAGATGACAATTTCGACTTCCACGCAGTATCAGTCTGCCAACACGCAGGCGACTTCTTCATCCTCGGTGGTCCCCTGGAGATGCCCTGGTCGTTTAGCAGGCCCTTTCACTTTGAAGTCACCAGGGCTGTTCAGAGACTGGGCGTTGCCCTAGACGGAAACTACCACGTAGAGCTGGAGATCTTCCACATCAACGGCACACAGTTGCCTTCTGACGTTCTACCGTATCCTGGAATTGATTTTAGGCCGGCCGTTGGAAAAACTGATCGTAAGTGTCTTTAATACTTTTCTTATTCACAATAGGCTCATGATACTGAGCTTTACTTTTCATTCCCCGCAGACTAAGAAAATGCTCGAATTCCCGGAAATGTCAAATATTTGAGGGATGCTATAGGTTGGGGTTAGGGGTAGGATCTTTGAGCACCGATCGCTTGAGAGACACCGACTAATTATAACTCTAACTCTAACCACAACCCATATCTCTAACCCGAACCCCTAACTCTAACCGTAACTCCTAACTCTAACCCTAACTCCTAACTCTAACCCTAACCCATACCCCTAACCCCTAACTCTAACCCTAACTCCTAACTCTAACCCTAACACATAACCCTAACCCCTAACCACAACTTTTAACTGTAATCCTAACTCTTATCCAATAACACCCCTAGAGTTGTCGACTTTTCCAGGAAACTCAGCGATTTTCTTTGCTTGGGCTGAATTAAAACTAAAGTACCCATAATAGATTTATTTAGCTGATTTTACTTGTAAGTGGCCCATAAGTAGGGTCAAAAAAAAGTCGTGAGTTCTAATCTGTTGCCTTTAAACCAGCTATTGGGAAAACTGATCATCGGTGTTTTCATTTGTGTCCTTTCTTATTTATTATAGTCAAATAAAGCTTTTACTTGTATGTGGGTTATGGTGGAGTGGTCGCTTGCCCCTAGGTCCACAGATCATGATTTCCAAACTGTTGTCTTCAAACCAGCTGTTCAGAAAACTAATTGTAAGTAAAGGTTACCTTTACTGTATTTCTTCTTCCAGTCACAGTCAGCGTCTGTGACTTAGGCGTTGCGAACACTCTTCGTAATTCAGGCGTGCAGGGTTCGATCCATGCTGCGGACGATTTATCTTGCACTGGTATCGACAGTGGTACTTAGAGCTGACCGTTCAGTAAGCAATGGCAAACTACTGAATGTAAATTGTGCCTAGAAAAATCTCAAAAGCAATAAATCCTGTGGTAGGTTCTTCAATGTCCTGCAAAAGATACGCGGTGCTTTCCCAAAATCTCCCCCTGGATGACGTCACAGGACAGTCCAAAAATTTCGAGGGTAATAAGAGCGGGTTTGCCGGCTTCTGATGCTTCGAACTACACTAAAACATCTAGAACTGGAACTAACCCCAACCCACCTACTTCTTACGAGAGAGTGCAGCCTACTGCCCCACGACTGCATGCAGCCTAGGTCCAACGGCTGCATGCAGCCTAACTACCACGTCCTAAAATATTCGACTGACTGTTTGAGGGGAGATACTGAGATAGAACCGGATACACAACTAACTAACTTTCATTCACTACGTGGATTCCCCTACCTGGTCCAGACTTCAGGTTACTTCGTGACCGTGGAAGCCCTAGAATAACTTCACTGCGGAACTGGGCTTACTGGACTTTGTAATTTAGAATTCGGGTCCTTGCCGTCAATATGGTGATTGTAAAGTTCACTTTTATTGTTTAGTTGGGGCAAGCTGTTTTTCTGACAATAGTTAGCCCTTGCATTTTCCACATATTTAGACTAGTAGGATATAGTTATGTTGCCCAGCTACTAAGTTTAGTGCATGGCTCGACGCTGTTAGCTAGGATTTTATTTGGAATCATTTCCAATGTGCCTATCGGGGTTTGTGTTGCGAACTGCAGAGAACTAGTGTCTATGGTTAAGCACCAGCAAGGACATACAAATTAGAATTTTGAGAGCATGCATTTTTCCTGTGGCTACATACGGATGTGAGTCGTGGACTATCTCTCAGTCCTTAAGAAAGAGAATAGGGGCTTTCGAGCCGAAATTCTATAGAAAGATTCTCAGAATATCTTGGACAAAGAAGATTAGAAATATTGACATCCTAAAAGATCTGAACATCAAGGAAGATTGGCTAATAAACAGCATCCTTTCTCGAAAGCTGAAATATTTTGGTCATATCAAGCGCCACGACGGATTGGAAAAAATTATAGCAGAAGGCATGGTACCAGGAAGGAGAGACAGGGGCCGACCGACACGAAGATGGGTACAGGATATAAGTGACTCCTGGAGTGTGAAAGTTCATGAGGCGGGAGAACTGGCAAGAGGCCGAGTTTCTTACAGGCAGACTGTGATGTAAGCGACGTTCTGCAAAGTACCTGCTACATGATGGATGGATTGGAGTATATATAACATTTGTAGATCAGTTTATGTAACGAAATCATTTCGACATTTCATTATGAAAGTGTAAACACTATCACAACAGCCCCTATTGGACACAACGAGGAAGGCCATGAACACGAGTTCCATGAAGGTGTTTCAGTTCGTAAAAATATCGACCGTTTGACCAGAGAGGAAGAATTCCAGATCAGAGAGGCACTGGAAAAATTTCAGGTCAGTCGTTACAAGCAATTGAACAAAAAGTGTGTGTGTGTGTGTGTGTGTGTGTGAGAGAGAGAGTAAGAGAGAGAGAGAGAGAGAGAGAGAGAGAGAGAGAGAGAGAGAGAGAGAGAGAGGAGAGGGGGGGAGGGTCGAATAAAAGAGAAAGAATTAGTGTGTTTGTTTGGAAAGAGAGAAATAGAAAAAGAAAAGAGAGATGTCTGTACGTGTGTGTGTGTGTGTGTTGGTCGTAGCAATTTATGAATGTGAGTCCAGGACTCGTAATCACCGAATAAAAGGGTGGTATAGGGACGTGGAAGGGGTCGGGGTTCGAGCTTTGAACTGAACTTGCAGAAACAAATTCTCAAAATACAAACAACCAGGGGAAAACAATTAAACATCAACATCCCGCATGATCTGTACAATGAGGAAAACTGGCTCATAAACAGCATCCTGTCACGAAAGCTGCGCTATTGTTGTCATGACAAATGTCGCAGACACAGAGAAAAACGATGTAAATATGAGGAAACAAAGCAGACACAGACCTTCGCGAAGATGGATACAAGACATCGATAGTGCATTGGCTATGAAAGCACATAAGGCTGGAGAACTAAGAAGGAGGACACTAAGAAGAAGCGGGGAAAGGGGCAGGAGAGAATTTCTTATAAAATGACTGTATCAAATATATCAGACGGCAATAATTCTAGTAATTTAAATCTAGTAAATGACTGTTGTAGATAAATCAACATATTGTGCTCAAATGTTCTTCCCCATTCTTCTCTCAGAATGACCGAAGTGTCGATGGGTATCAGGCCATTGCAGAGTTCCACGGTGACCCCGGCAAATGCCCATTTCCAACAGATAAGGACAGACTGGCCTGCTGTGTCCACGGAATGCCAACGTTCGCACACTGGCACAGACTGCTGGTGGTTCAGGTAAAACGTGTGTCCTTTAGTGAGAAACTTATTGTTTGATGTTATTCCAGTAACTTTGTGTGTACAGCATAGGCTCCACACATCAGGGCGTCGGGTTATCACTATCTACTGAGTATTCACAACCCGGGACGCACACATAAAGTGAACACGCGATCCATATAAATAGAGACTATTTAACTGAAATGCTATAGAAAACATTGTAAACAAACAGGAACAAAGAAGAAAAGAAATATTGACATTCTGAAATATCTGAATATCGAGGAAGATTGACCAATAAACAGCATCTTGTCTTGGTAGCTAAAATATTTTGGTCATATCAAGCAACAACGGGAAATTATAGCTAATAATAGCATACGACGTGGTACCAGGAACGAAGTGGTAGGGCCGAACAGCACGAAGATGGGCATAGCATATACGTGATTCCTTAAATATGAAAGTACATGAGGCGGGGAAACTGGCGAGGGGTAGCATTTCTTTCAGACAGACCGTGACGACAGCGACGCTCTGTAGAGGATCTGCGACAAGATGATGATGGTGATGAGAACCATATTAAGTGGATCCGAGTTATGGTTGAAACTGTGGCCTCACACAGGGTGTTGATGTTGTGTGGATCTACTGAATCGTTACAACACATGACTTACACACCCGAGGATCACAGAATCCAGCGTTTAGAGACCTCCTGAGTAGCCACAGGGCTGACACCAAACATGCCGAGACAACCTGAGCTTCTCCTTATCAAGAAATGTATCTTGTTTTTGTTTTTGTTTAAGGTTCATATTTTTAAAAAGTGGGGAGAAGGGGATGGGGGGGGCGGGGGGGGGGGGGGGGGGGCAACGAAGCAGACTCTACAGCAATGTATGTAAGCTCGCTTGGTAATTGTTCATATATTTCTTATCGTTTTGCATCTATTTTTGTAATATACTTGTCACTCCGCGCATTATTATTATGATTATTATTATTTACTTAAACAAAAATATGAGCTTTCGCTTCCGCCCCTACCTACACGCCCTTTAAAACAATTAGTAAGGCAGCAGATTTCTCAACCAAGTGCCTCCCCAAATGGTTTCCTTGTGTCGACTCCCTGCTGAAACCCACTTTAGGCTGGAAGGAACTGTCAGCCCCATGCTTTTTAGTTTTGTTTTAAATATCGGCTGTAAATGGATTTTGAACCATTAAGCACGTTTGGCTGGCAATCGTATAGTCGTCACTAGGAGAGCACAAATTCACATACCATCTACTTTATTTCTCCACAATAAGACCCGCCCCCAAAAAAATCCCCACCCTCAAAATAAAAATTAAAAAACAGCACGATTTGTTAAGATACTAATAATATTAGCCCTACACACACACAAAACCATTGTTAAGATCGTCAGATAGGATGATACAAATGCTTATTTGAGTGAAGCTTTATTGCTGCGTATAAGAGACTGGCAGGGACATGTAGTCCGAAGAAATTCAAGTCGGAATTCGGGTTTTGGAGAGTCAAGACGATGATCCAGAAGATGATAAAGTGACAGTATTTTGTAATTATATATTTTCGTATATGAACAGAAAAAAAACAAAAACAAAAACTCCTTCTAAATAAGCCTCAGTGCAATTTTAGATGCGAAAGTTATTATAAGATACTGTCTTATTTTCTGGAAGACACTGTCTCAACAGGAAATCACAAAGACGTCGTTTTGTTGAATATTGAATAGAGAATCGATATCACAGTTCCTGCGACACTACCATAAACGTTCAGTCCCAATCTCCATCAGAAAGTGAAGAGTTGCAATGCCAATGCAACCAGTAACTGTCTGATTAAATATCTGTCTCGCCTTCTCCTTGAGTCTTGAGCGTCAGCCAGATCCCTGGTAACTCCTGGCAGCATCATTCTCCTCAGACCGTAATGATTTGTTTGTGCCTTCGCACTGTTCACTCGCTCCCTAAGGGTCGTCACAACTTCTAGCTTGGCATACATCAATTCATCACCAAGTGGTGCAAAACGGACCAGTCTATCTGCCTGATCGTTTCCCAACACACGGCATGACTTGGAGAAAACATACGAAGGACGCTAATTACCCTTGATGTCTGAAGAGATGCCTGCCACTTCGCTCGCAACATGCCGTTCTCAACCTCCACCTTTCTCAACATTATGAATTAATCAAGTAACAGAAAGTATCGTGAACGGCACTCATAGAAAGAAGTAGAAAGATAGAAGAACACACTAGACAACATAAAAATCGAAAGCTATAGTTACCGTGCCGGGAATTGAACCTGTCACCTCCAGACGGCGTCTGCGCCTCGCCATGAATACAAGTGCACTAAGATACATGGTCAACTCGGCACCCCCAAAAAAAGGTGTCTCATTGGCCATGTCTATCGTACAGCTTGAAATCCACGACTATGGAATACGGACAGAATTCATTTCAACCCATTTCTCAACATGCTCTGTGAGTCAGTAGCAGTCACAACATGCCGTTCTCAACCTCCACCTTTCTCAACATGCTCTATGAGTCAGTAGCAGTCACAACATGCGTTCTCAACCTCCACCTTTCTCAACATGCTCTATGAGTCAGTAGCAGTCACAACATGCCGTTCTCAACCTCCACCTTTCTCAACATGCTCTATGAGTCAGTAGCAGTCACAACATGCCGTTCTCAACCTCCACCTTTCTCAACATGCTCTGAGTCAGTAGCAGTCACAACATCCCGTTCTCAACCTCCACCTTTCTCAACATGCTCTATGAGTCAGTAGCAGTCACAACATGCCGTTCTCAACCTCCACCTTTCTCAACATGCTCTATGAGTCAGTAGCAGTCACAACATGCGTTCTCAACCTCCACCTTTCTCAACATTCTCTATGAGCCAGTAGCAGTCACAACATGCCGTTCTCAACCTCCACCTTTCTCAACATGCTCTATGAGTCAGTAGCAGTCACAACATGCCGTTCTCAACCTCCACCTTTCTCAACATGCTCTATGAGTCAGTAGCAGTCACAACAAGCCGTTCTCAACCTCCACCTTTCTCAACATGCTCTATGAGTCAGTAGCAGTCACCACATGCCGTTCTCAACCTCCACCTTTCTCAACATGCTCTGTGAGTCAGTAGCAGTCACAACATGTTTGTACAGCTGATGCTAAAGCAATAATAATTAGTCATTGATTCTATCTAACAGGTAGAAGATGCTCTGAGACGACGTGGCTCTCCTATCGGAGTCCCTTACTGGGACTGGACTCGACCCAACACCCGCATTCCTGACTTGGTTAACGAGGAAACGTATGAAGATCCCGTTACGTAAGTCCAGATTTGCTTTTGAAAGCAAAACATGGATTAACTTCGGTTCTTTCCGCTTTTCCACCCCATTTTGGGAGCTCTGAGATTTCTTACGGAAACTCCTAAGGAATTTCCCGAAATGTCCTGAAGTATGGTGGTGGGGGTGGGGGCGGAGGAGGTGTAGGATTAGAGTTAGTGTTGGTTTCCCTAAAACACTAAAACTTGTATATTATAGGGGTGTCATGTGTTGTCTGTTTGCCAGTTTATATATCTTGTGGGTCGGCTCTGTGACTAAGTCGATGCGAACGCTTCGTAATGCCGGGGTACCGGGTTCGATCCCAGCTGCGGGCCATACGCCTTGCGTTGATTTCGACAGTGGTATCAGGGAGCCGACCGTCCAGGAAGCAACGGCAAACTATTGGACGCAAATTTGCCTAGTGAAACCACACAACAGCCAGGGGCTGATGGGGTTGGTTCTGCAACGTCCTGTAAAGGATACGCAACTAATTTTTAATATCTTGTGGGAAGCATGTGAAAGGCTTTCCACAGACAACTATCCTCTCGAGAGCTGGCACGTGCAGGCAGAAGATCTTCCTGGATGAAGGTTGTGATGGTTTTAACATTTTGTTGTGATGGTACTAACATTTTTATTTTTGATGGGTACAGAGATTCCTTTTGTGTATTTGTTCTCAAACGTTTGTAATAAGGTTCTAATATGGACCACAATTGCACCCATATAAGATATTATGTCTGGTAATGTTGGTAGAAACGGGTAATTGCTTGAAAATCGTTGTCTTTTTGCTGTCTTTAATAGACATTGGACAACTATTTAAACAGTACGTGCTCGTAATGTCAAAGATTGTTACTTCGGTAGCACTTTAGGAGAGAGTCTGGATAAATACTTGAAGACAAGAGATACAAACTGCTGTTTTAAATAGTTCACGAAAAACTAACAACCCCAACTGCAGATGACAATGTGTCTTCTTTGGGCGCAATCTGAGACGGTGTCAACTGGAGTAGGACATGACAACGAGAAAGCTAAAGACAATGAGAGGCAGGGGCAGACCAAGAGAGATGATAGACAAGCATGGTATATAAAAATATCACTATCAATAATAACTGACAGTACACAAGACAGACGGCTGCTGTAATACGTGAATACCAATGCCAACCGGCATGGACTATCATCAACATTATCACTATCATGAGCCGTGTCGGTAAGCTTAGGCTGCCATGTTTCACTTCGGCGTCTCACACGATTACGAAATCACGGATAAGGTCAATATTTTGTTTCCCCCAACCCCCATCAGTGTTGCCAGGCCTTTCGGAGATTTATACCTTTGCCTTGCTCTTGCTTTCTTTCCATTAAACTTGCTAGTTGTTTTCATGTTCTCAGGTCCATTTTTGTTTCTTATATCCTGTCCGAAAAATACTGCCTGTCTCTGTCTAAATGTTCTGATAAGTTGACCACTTCTATTTGTCTGGACGAGGACTGCTTGGCTTGTTATTGTTTCTTTTAATTCCCCTGTGATAATCTGTGCCTTCTTCTTAAAAAGCTTATCGCTGCCGCAAATAAATTTTGACTGGTTTGGCATTCCAGGATTGACTTGGCACCTATTTTGGATTGTTTTACCTGTGAGCCAAGGTCATTATACAAAATTTGAATTTAAAACAAAGGACTTCAGATCTGCACATGAGAGCCCAGTCGATACTTTACTGCAGCTCCCATGAGGAAAAAGAGTCACTGTCATCATCAGTAAGCAGGTCCTTTGTAGAACGTCGCTCTCTTACCAGCTCTCAGCCTTGTGAACTTTCGTGTTCAAGGAGTCAGGCATATCATGTGACCATCTTCGTGTTGGTCGGCACCTGCCACTCCTTTCTGTTACCATGCCTTCTGCTATTCCTTTTTCTAATCCGCCACGGCGCTTGATATGACAAAATTATTTCAGCTACCGAGACAAGATGCTGTTTATTAGCCAATCTCCCTTAATGTTCAGATCTTACAGAATGTCAGTATTTCTTCTCTGTCCATGGCATTATGATTATCTTTCTATAGCATTTCAGCTCAAAAGCCCCTATTTTGTTTTCTCAAAACTGCTAGATAGTCCACGACTCACATTCATATGTTGCTACCGGAATGATGCATGCGCTCAAAATTTTAGTTTTGATTTTCCTGCTGGTGCTTAATCATAGACTTTTAATGCTGTTTAATCTTTGCATTGCTATGGCCATCCTCCTTTTGATTTATGTCAAATAGAGAATCTTATACATTTACATAAGTGTGAGTGATAGTTAGCATGTATTTCAGTCTCTGTGTGTGATCTTCTACAGAGGGGAACAACACCCCAACCCCTTCCATCACGCAGACATTGCCTTCCTGGGCCCTGATGTCCACACCTCTCGAGATGTCCAGCCTGGGCTTACTCAAAACCCATCTTGGGGTGACCACACTGAGCTCTTTGATGCCTTCCTGCTTGCTCTGGAACAGGACAACTTCTGTGACTTTGAGGTAAAGCAAACTGTGATCAATTGTATATAGTTATTTATGCAATAACCCCCACAGTGGATAAAGCTTTTATAGCTAATACATCTTCAGTATCCAGTTTCTTAGTGTGTGTGTGTTTTTTTTTTAATATCTATAAATCTGTATTATTACATTTATATTGATCAACAGGTACAATTTGAACTCGCACACAACCACATCCATGGTCTGGTGGGAGGAAAAAGCCAATACGGTCTGTCTTCCCTGTCATACAGTGCTTTTGATCCAATCTTCTACATCCACCACAGCTCCATCGACAGAATTTGGGCCATTTGGACTGCTCTTCAACAATACAGGTAAACTTGTCTTAACTGGCAATCTAGTCTTTAGAAACTCCTAAAACAAACTGTTGTATTGTGCTAGCTGAATAGGTTATTAAGTAAATTGAATGGCCCTTGCTACGCCAGGGTGCCCTACTATCACATCGGGTACCTTATTTTAGACTTTCCGCAAACAAAGGAAATCCGGGACTTTCCGGGAAAGACCCATAATATAGGAGTGTTGTGGTTTGAAATTAACACTGAAGATATAATTTGCTGAGGCAAGAGAGGGAGAACACCTGCAAACCCTGGCACGAAAATGAAACTGGTCTCCGTCAGCTCCGACCACCTCGAGGACGCCAACCCTAAGCGTAATCATAATCCCAATCCAGAATGCATATATAATATTTGAAGTCCTGGATTTACTTTGGGGTGAATTAAAACTAAAGTACCACTCATGTGACACATGATACTAGACTTATATTTCCATAGACCAATCGGCACTTGACACGTCATTGTCAGAAAGAAACTGGCAAACTCACCTTGTTATATTTATCCATCTCCTGATTGTCTTTCTCCAGTTACTTCGTTGAATTTAAATAATGCGAATACAAACAATACATTGCACAATTTATTGCCAGGTATATTTCGCTGTATTTTGTCAGGTGCGTTACTACAGAGGTACATTAACATAAAACGAAGCATAAAACTGAATAAATCCAAAAGAGATACGAATATTTTCTTCCGATACATTATGTGTGTTCTTTCTGGCCGCGGAAGCACACCGTTGTCACGTGACCTACCAGGGTCAATTTAAAAAACTTCGTTGAATTGTTGATGGGAAATGTTAGAATCTTCTGTGCGAACTTTCTAATTCGTTGTATGATCTTCATTTCTCGAAGACTGCTCTTGATGCCGTCATTCTATGTTTTGCATGGTCTTCCTCTTTAACTGTGCGTAATAAATTTTTTCAACGTGGTCTATATGGTTGTTATTAGACTATTCTCGTCAGATGGAGAAACCATCTCATTTTTTACCTGTTTTTAAAAATTTATTTCTGGTTTCAAAATGGAAAGAATTTGGAGGCGACAAAGGTGGGGCTTATCGGACGAATGTTAAATCCTTTGGTCTGCCAGAGTAACTAACAATGACTGTTTGAAAGAAGCTTATGAAAGCAGATCATAACATACAGCTTTAAGGAACGCTCAAGCACTCTTTTTTGGTCATGTGATGAGAGGGATGGGGGGTGGGGGGCTTTGGAGAATATTGTGTGAGATCAATGGTAGAAGATGAGGAGGCAGACCGAGAGAGACAATCACGTATGAACAGCAACATTCACAGGAAGGGAACTGATTCATATCACAATGAGCCGAGATATGCGGAAATGTATGAACGCCTACGCAAGTCGGCAGGGTACGTAGTGATAACGATGACTGATTTAGGTCCTAGTTTTTTTTTTTTTTTAATTGCATCTTTTCTAAGACTCTCTTGTACTGAGCTGTAAATGTGTAACATTTCTCACAAACACACATACACAAACACATTTACACATATATGGCATTGATTACGATATTGATCATTGCTTTAATTTAATGTATATTCTTTATTTCAGACACAAGCCTTACAAAGCCCATTGCGCCCAAACACACGTACATACGCCGCTGAAACCATTCTCTTTCTCATCTCCCTATAACAATAACGAGAAGACCTACTCCCACTCCACGCCCACCAACGTCTACGACTATGAAGAGGAACTGGGATACACCTATGACAATCTGGAGTTCGGAGGACTGAGAATCCCAGAACTAGATGATTACATCAACAATCATGTCAAGAACCACAACCGCGTCTTCCTGGGCATTCAGCTTCACGGAATTAAAAAATCTGGTATGTCTTTCTTCCTCTTCTTCTTCTTCTTCTTCTTTCTCTTCTTCTTCTTCTTTTTCTTCTTCTTCTTCTTCTTCTTCTTCTTCTTCTTCTTCTTCTTCTTCTTCTTCTTCTTCTTCTTCTTCTTCTTCTTCTTCTTCTTCTTCTTCTTCTTCTTCTTCTTCTTCTTCTTCTTCTTCTTCTTCTTCTTCTTCTTCTTCTTCTTCTTCTTCTTCTTCTTCTTCTTCTTCTTTTTCTTCTTCTTCTTCTTCTTCTTCTTCTTCTTCTTCTTCTTCTTCTTCTTCTTCTTCTTCTTCTTCTTCTTCTTCTTTTTCACTTTCAAAACGGCTGGCACATTGTGTGTAAGCAATGCCGGATAGAGACATTTAGCTAACTAAGCTAAAATCTAATTTCATAGTCTGAAGGTGGTCTTAGAAATTCATTTTTTTCCTACTACTACGATTGTCTTTTAATGTATGCTAAATGCACTTTTCTTTCAGAATACTTCAAATGCAATTTTATGTTATATAGTTTACCCCTCCCAACCCCCAGTAATTTCTAATTATAACAATATTATTGTTTGTATATTATCTCAGTTATTTATAGAAATAATCAGACATATTATGGAATAAAATGCCAGGTTTTTCACAATCTAGATTTTAAATCAATAAAACCTACAACGTCTATTTTCATCAGGTTGGGCAACTATCTACGTGACTCCATCTGGAGGCGAGAAATACACTGCTGGTCACTTTGGCTTGCTAGGGGGCCCAACAGAGATGCCTTGGAGTTTTGATCGCGTCTACCAGTAAGATTTTTGTTTTCTTGCTTTAAATACAAAATCCAGAGAAGAAATTCATTCAGTGCAGTATGTAACTAAACTAATGTAAGTAACTAAAAGAGATGAATCCTCAATACAAATTTTTGAAAACAGAGTATTACGTCGAATCTTTGGACCCATTAAAGATGCAAACAGTGAGGAATGGAGAGTGAGAAGCAACGACGGAATTTATAATATGATTAAATCACCACTGATCACTGGCATCATGGGATCAATTTGATCGAAATGGCTTTGGCATAATGAGAGAATGTCAGAGGAAAGAGGGGTAAAAACTGTATACACAAGGCAACTGAATGGTCGTAGACCACGAGGCACACCAAGAAGACGATGGATAGATAACGTCTAGACAGACCTGCAAGCACTTGATGTCACCAACTGGAAAGAGAAGACCAAGCAGAGAGATGAGTGAAGGCGTGTAATATCTGCAGCAATGAACCTCAAGGTGTTGGAACGCTGAAGAAGAAGCACTGCCTGCTTGCTAGGGAAGAGGCAAGGCATGTCAGAAGGAGTCCATCGCCTGACGCCGTTCGCCCCTGATAATAATAATGCTGAGTCTCAAAGAGATCGTAGCAATCTGAGGAGAGTGGGGGTGTGAGCAGTGACCAGGAGATCTGGCACACTCGCAACCCTCAGGGTAAAGGCGAGAAGGATGAATAGGTAGTCTGTTACTGATGTCATTGCAACTGAGCATTCTGCTGAAGATAGTGAAGGAAGAGCTTATATGAATATCCCGAGTGATTTGGTGTTAGTTTTGTTGTTTCATTAGCAACTATTATTTCTGTGTCTTACGTTTAACAGACACACACAAACACACACACACACACACACACAGACGAACAATTATGTCGATTCTTCACATTGTTAATTATAAACAAGATACAGCAAAACTAGACTTGAAAGCTGAACGACGATTTCGGGAACCGAACTTAGACACTAACATCCACAGGACGAATCAACTTTCGAAGCTAGACAGCGACAGACGTCGTGCCTTATACATCAGGCGATGATAGCAAGCATTTGTTGGGCCACTGTACGAGAAGCAGAAGATGGAAATCATTGGAACTGCAAATATATATATATATATATATATATATATATATATATATATATATATATATATTAGGGCTGAACCGAATAGTGATTTTCACTATTCGGCCAAATACGAATAATGCGACTAACTATTCGGCCGAATACGATTGCGAATAGTGTATAGTGTATAAAATATGTCTAAACTGAAAAAAAAAAAATCATTCATAATGTGAAATGTACGCTGAAATTTTACTTAACATAAGGTAGCACAGAATAGTCATCTTCTTCTTTGGCATTCTGAGCCCTTAAGGTTTACTGCTGCAGATATCACTCGTCTCTATTCAGCTCTCTGGCTGACCTTCTCTTCATAATTTGTGACACCAGTTGTTTTCAGGTCTGGCTGGACATTATCTCTCGATATTCTTTTTTGTCTGCCTCCTGGTCTACGCCCATTTATCTCTCAGGTGTCTATAGTTTTCCTTTTCTGTCTTTTGACATTATTTCAAAATGCCCCAACCATTTTAGTCTGTTAGCTTTCGTGCTGTCAGTGATCAATGGTGATTTAAACAGATTATGTGTTACGTTGTTGCTTCTCACTCTCCATTCACCGCTGTTGGTTAGCATCTTTGATGGGTCTAAAGATTTGTCGTAAGACTGTTTTTAAAAAACCTGTATTAAGGCCTCGTCTTTTATTTCTGCTTCAAGTTTCAGAGCCATATAAAACAACTGTCTTATCAATGTTTTATATATTTTGATCTTGATTTTCTGAGACAGACAGTTTGACTTTAGCAGATGATAAAGGGCGTAGTATACTTTTTCTAGATTGTATTCTAGACTTATTTCTTCTCTCAGCATGTTGGAGCAGTTGAAGTTTGCACCCAAGTACATATATGATTGCGTTTGTTTGATTTTCATATTATCGACTTAGATGTGGCCGGAGTTTATATTCTTTCCATGTCTAGTTAGTATTCGTACAGAATAGTAAACATTTAAAAACATTTTATGTTTTGCATCGTTCAGTCAGTCTGTAGAAACTAATAACTAGGAATGAAAGAATTCTAACTATTATAACAAGTAACTAAACTTGGAAATTGTCACTGACAGCTTAGTTATTGCATGGAAGCTGCATTAGCTTTCAACAAAATCAATCGTTTCATGTGGTCAGTATTAAGGCAGTGTATGAAAAAGCGGGTGTAAGGTAACTACTATTCGTATTCGGCCCGATCGCAACTATTCGGCAGAATACCGAATAGTCAACAGGTCCACTATTCGGCCCCGAAGCGAATACGAAGCGAATATTCGATACAACCCTAATATAAATATATATATATATGTGCGTGTGTGTGTATGTGTGTGTGTGTGTTTGTGTGAGTGTGTGTGTTTGTGTGAGTGTGTGTGTGCAGATAAGAAAATCACGACAGCTTTTTTACCATAGCATAGACAGACATGAGAACGAGTACTGCGCAGTCGTGGTCGCCAAGCCCAGCTGTAAAGTCATAAGATAAAAATAGGGATGATGATGATAGTAATAGTTATTATTGTGATGGTAATTTTATAATTATAATGTGCTTTTGAAAAAATATGCTAATGATTTAGCCAACAATGATTTATCCCTGACATCTCAAAGAGACAGTAAACAAGCATGACTATTCCTTGACTTTTCATCATCACATTTGCAAATCATTACTCCTATCTTCTAATCAACTCATCATCATTTTCTTATTACCCAAACACGACTTTTCTCTGATTTGTTTATCACACACAACACACAAGCACCACTTTTTCCCTTACATCTTATCATCGCGCTTCTTATACATAATATTTCCCTGATTTCACATCATTACATTCTCAAATGTGACTTTTCCCTGACTTCTCAAGATATTTTTCACACGCGAATTCTTCAAGACGTTACCTCGTCACACTATTCCCACGTAAACTACATCTAAATTCTAATCAGCATTTTACTCACACATTGTAAGTGACTCGCAACGCATGCTGGGAAAGTAAAGCCAGGTTTGCTCCGCGCAGAATGATGGCACGCATAGCTTCAGAAATCGGTAGTCAGATTCCTGTGGAGATTTTATCCAGGTTATACAGGTGTGTCGGGAAATTATCAAGCAGTTAGACTGGCTGGTTCTGCAGCACTCAACATAGGCCTGATGCATGGCAAGCTAAATATTGTCAAGGTTCTTTGAGACTAGGTGAACAGTGCAGAGACAGAGTTAGATTATCACAGTCTGGAGAGAATCGTGCAACAGGATGTGGCCAGGAAATTAGGCCGATACTAAACACCCATTGAAAAGACAAAAAGGACATAAAACCAACTGATACTGGTACCATCGGAGTTGGAACTCTTTGTACTGCTGAGGATGAGAATAGGGCGCTTATGGGATTGTTCCTATTGCTGTGATATCGGTTCTTGAAACTCAGCTTAACTCTATTCTCATCATCACATGACTCCAACATGACTTCTTTCTGACTTTACAGCTACGACATTACCCCAGCCCTTCAAGCCCTTAACCTTCAATGGTCATCACCCTATGACGTCACACTGGAGATACACGAATTTGATGGAACCCCCATTGACGTCAGCCTGTTTCCAAAAATACAACTATCTTACGTGCCAGGTCAAGGTGAGTGTTCTTTTCCCCTTATAAATTGATTGTTCCAGTACAGTTCCATGTCTAGTATCTTAACGTATCATTTCGATCTGGATCTAATAAAACATGAATTCAAAAGAGAAACAGATCTAGTCAGGTTCCAGGTAAAAGATAACAATGACACAACGAGAACGTTTTGTTGAATTAATATATGTCAGAATTGTATTTTTCAGAGGCTCGCGAAGCCAGAAAATCTGATTCTCGAGTCCGTAAAAATGTGGACCAGTTGACAGAGGAGGAAGAACTAGATATCCGCCATGCCCTGGCGAACCTGGAGGAGGACAAGAGTCTAGGAGGGTACCAAACACTGGGTCGCTATCATGGTGCTACGCTGTGGTGTCCAAGTCCTGACGCAGAGAAGAAAGTAGCCTGCTGTCTTCATGGGATGCCCACCTTTCTGCATTGGCACAGGTAAGGCAGCTTGATCTGTCACACGCTTTTATTTTTTTTTTAGTATCTAGAAGCCATGAGTTGTTAACCCTTAGGCTTGGTATTATGGATATCGCAACCTTTCGGCCTTGATTCCGTGATAAATACCGTAAATCTGGGAGAAATTAAGCTTTTCTGCCTACCCCCCGGGCGTGAACCCGGACCACAAGGAGTTCGTCACCCGGTCAGCGCGCAATCCGGTTTAGCCAACTACGCTAGTGAGTCCGGCCTGTCACACGTTAATGGACGAAAAAACTAGAATCTATTTATTTATGTCGTTTCTAAGCATACAGTAAATAAAATCAAACAGAGTGGCTTCCCGTAAAAGTAATTGAAACAATAA